AAGGCAATTGATAATATTCGTCATGCTCACTATATGATTTTGTTCTTGTCTAGTAATCTGAATTTTTGCACTTGTTGCTATTGATGCAGATAAAACGTCATAATATTATTTGGGTACAAGTGAAGTTTTTCATAAAAGACAAGCACATATTCACATATTCATCAATTGCATCAGAGGATGATGTAAATATTGCGGATTATTACTCATTCTTCATGTTATCTTGCTGTGGTGCTTATGTTACAAAGCCAGTATCCAGCGTAGCTCCTGCCAAAAAGTCTGTCTGGCTTGCATGTCATTTAGAAAAGAAAGATCATTTGTCTTTTGTGACCCTTTAAAGACACCCGATGCAATTTCAGGGCTGCAAAACAAAATAATATTCAGATATCTGTCTGATATTTACATTTACTGTCATTTCTTAGCACATTTTCATCATCATTTCATACTTCCGAGGCATTTGAAAAAGCCCCAAAACAACCTACATGAGGAACTAAATGTTTTTGGGTACCAGCCATAGATACAAGTGTAGCTAGATCCAGCCTATATGAAAATATAGGTAACTGTTTTCAGTCTGCAACATCACATTTTTGCCTCACAGATATCAGTATGCTATGGGACAGGGTTGATTCAACCTACTACATTTAATTCAAAATAAAATTGACTTTTAGTTGAAAATCCAGTTTTGGCACCCTGAAATTGCATTGAATGCCTTTAACCTAATTTGGACTTTCTTTTGCAGATGCTGAGGCCTATCAGTAGAGCAGTGCTGGTGGGGAGGGGAGTCCCCCTGTCACACAGCCATGCAGCTGTGGTAGGGACAGCCTCTGTACGGAGAGACTTCCATCTCTGTCAGGTCAGTGGGAACATTACTGTAAATCACTTCATGTTCACTGGAGCAAAAGTTCGCAGTCTGAGAAAAATGGAGGTGTTCCATGCCCGTAGCCAGGATTTTGAATGGGGGGGTTCTTCCGACTGCTTGAGGGGACCTCGAGCGCCGCAGCCGCGAGGTTCGTAGGGGGGTCCGGGGGCATGCTCCCCCGGAAAATTTTGAAAAATGAACCTTCTAAAATGGCATTTCGTGCGTTTTTGAGAGGATTTCAAAGAAAAAATTGGAGATAAGTTTCTATTCAATGACAAAGCATGGAGGTAAAAAAAAAGAGAGGTTTTTCTACGATTCCAGTCGATCTTTTCAAGAAAACTCTTGGACCTTTACATAAAAAGTGGACCAAAAAGTGGACGTTTACATAAAAAGTGGACCAAAAAGTAGACCTTTGAGCCTTGTGGGGGGGAACCCCCCCTGGCTACGGGCATGTGTTCACAGAACTATAGTACCCCTGTATAGTCTTCACAAAATTTAATGTATTGAATGACTTTCTACAGAAAAAAATTCACAGCCAATACCAAGCAGGTGCAGCAAAAAGATAGTCGGAGAATTATTTGTTCATGGTTATAATAAGTTTGCGGTACAGAATTGACCACAATAACTGCGAATATAAAAGCACTGTACACTACAGTACATGTGTACATGTGTATGGTGTTTGTAGCTCAAACCATAAGTAGCTGCAGTAGGCCCAGGAGGTTTTGCTGAACTGCAGGAGAGTTCTGAGCAGATACCAAATGTGAATTCAGACAAGTCCCGAAGTCGCCCTAAAATCGGGTTTTGTGCTGAAGTCGATCAACGAGTTCTGAGAGGAAGATTGAAAGAGAGCACAAGGGATGATGGGAGATTGCTGCGATGAGGACTTTCCCTGGTTGGTCGGCCGTGTCTTTCCCAACCAGAATTCCTTAGCCTACTGCCAGCTGTGCTCATACTAAAGCATCTTCAATGTGTGATGTCATCACTGTTTTTACCGCCAAGTTCATCTATTAGACTTTTTGTATTTCAGGTTACCATCGATCAAGTGTTTTCAAACATTTTGCAAGATCTTTTGCAAGTAATAACTCATGAAGGAAAGATTGATCTTTATGTTAAATCCATATATCTTCCATGTTTTGATAACCACTCTTTTGTTTTCTAGGCAAGACACAACCAAAGAAAAACATTTCTTGGACAGTTCATTGACAACCTTAGGCAGGAAATGACGAAGAACAAAGAAATGAAGGCAAGTTTCATGTATCTTTGTAGTTAAGATCATCATTTTCATTGTTTACTTATTTGTGATACCCCAGAGGTAGATTAACTGTACACAGGGTTTGACAAATTGTTTGACAGATATGTATGCATTTTTTTCTCCCCTGTAGGAAAATTTAAAGAAATTTAGAGAAGAAGCACAGAAACTGGAGCAGTCTGATGCACTTAAAGAGGCCAGAAGAAAATATGTAAGTTAAATATTATCTTGCTAGTAAGTATGAATTCCTCCTTTGCCCCTATAGCAATAAAAAGCTAAGAGATCAAATTCAAAATCTTTACTCCTACCTTGGTCTACTGACCAAAATGACTCTTTTTGTTGTTTTTTCATTATAATTACAGGAGAAGATTGAGGCTGAAACAGCAAAGAGTTCCCAGGTCCTGCAGAAAGGAGTTGACCAAATAAAAGACAAACTCTACGAGGTAAATGTTGTCTTTCTCTGATTCTAGTATTTAAATGTGACAGACAGTATTCTGTTTTCCTTCTT